CTCCTTCACGTGTCACTCGTGGCTCTTTTTCTGAAAATTGTTAACCATATAATGAGACTTAAAAGTCCCAGTAACCAAAGCTAATTTATGATAGTGTATACAAACAGTTAAGTGTGTGCTTACTAAATGGGAACCAAAAATAATATAATTCCAACAAAATATAAGAAATATTACAATACACACAAATGAATCATCCTTATATCCCTCCATTAATCTCGAGCTGTAGCCCTCACTCGGTGCTAAATTACCCGACCAAAGGTAGATTAACCTGAGCCCTTACAAGCCATCTATTGAGCTCTAATAGAGGCGTACCACGTGGCACATAAATACAACAATAGCAAGTCTCCCAACACCTCCCACAATAATCAAACAAATTCATAATAATATTGCACAATTATACAATATTACAATATTCATAATTTTTTCAATAATCACCTAATTAACATGAAGTAATACTAATCACAAATTAAAAGCATGGTTACTTTGTGGCTTTTTCAATAAATTATTCCTTACAATTTCTCTCCCACCACAATCTTCACCAATAATACAATCTACAAATAACATATTATTTATAAATATTAGTTTTAATTTTTAAAACTAATAAAATAATTCTAATAATAGAATTAAAAATGTAACATAATTTCTAATCTCAATCTTAAAACAAATCTAGAGTCAACACTATTAAGTAAAATTTTTAACTCCTCTTTTAATTATCAAAAATTAATAATCTAAAAATCAAATTCTAAACTAATTTCTATTATCAAAATTTTCTTTTTATTTCATAAATTCGTATCTAAAATACCCAAAAATTAAAAATTGAGTCTCTAGCTTAGAATCATAATCTTATAGCCATAATAATTTATTTATCATCCCAAATAATCATCTAAACCTAAATAAATTAACATATATTTTCAGATCTAGTTTAGAATTTGATCCATAAGCCACAAATTCAAAGATCATCAACAAATTTATACTTTAAAACATTTATTATACTACTAACAACCTCATAAATCATATTTATTCAACATAAATTCATCTCTTTTTCAGATCCTAAATTTTCTACCACCACAAAATCAGAAACCAAAGAGGAAGGATGACTAATAAAATTTTTAAAAATATTTAATTAGTCTTGAAAAGCTTAAAATCACACCCTAAATATCCTATTAAAAATTCTTACCTTAAAATCCAACACCAGCGAAACTAGACACTCTCTCTGCCTCAGTTCACGCACAGGAAAGAATGAAGAGACGAAGAAGTGAAGAAAGAAGGAAGGAGGTGGGTTTTTATAAAAAATTCAGTGGGTTCCACATTTTTTTTATTATTTCTTCTTTTCTCTCTCTTCTTCTCCTTTTTTTTATTATTTTATACAATTATTGATGCATGCAGCGGCCGAAAGCAAGTTCTCTTTTTCTTCTTCTCTTCTCTTTTTTTTTTTACCTTTTTTTATAATAATAATTTAATAATATTTTTTTAATTAATTAATTAATAATTTTTTTAATTAAATTTTTTTTAAATTTTAATTTAGAATTATATCCTAAGTTAGATTTAATGATCATTTTATACTAATTTGCTTATCTCTAAATATATTTTTTTAAAATTTCTATTAATCTAAATTAACTATTAAAATTTAAATTGAGATGTTACATCAAGCCCCCAATTCTAAATTTTGTAAGCTTTGTACTAATATTTTGAAACCTAGACTGGATGTCGAACTAGCAAAAAGAGTAACGAGCAATGGTTCTCATATATAGTTCAACTAGTGGTTGAATCAAAAACATAAAAATTAAATAAAAATACTTCTTCCATCTCAAATTATAAGATACTTTTAAACATAATTTCACATACTAATAAACCTCATTAAATACACTTAACAATTTTATCTTTTCAAAACAAAAATGTAAACTTCCCAAAATATCCATCATTTAATACATTAAAAAGAGAAGGGATGGAAATTGATTATAAATAGAGAAAGGGTAATATTGTAATTAGTGCATTTAATAAAACCTTAATCTATCCAAAGTGTTTTATTTTTTAGGATGAAAAAACTCCTTCAAAAGTGCTCTATAATTTGGAACAAAGGGAGTAATATTTATATATACAAATATATAAATAAAACATTAATTTTTTAATGGTGCTTGGGATCTCAATGCCAAAGGCTAGAAACTTGAACCACTGGAATTGGAGGCAAAGGCATGTCGGTACAAGCTTGTGATCTTAAATTAAAACGTAGGAGTTGGAGGCACGTTGTCATGTCATGACTAACGTGCTTCCAAACTTAATGCCAAAGGTTGGATCACTAGAGTTGGAGGTAGAAACTAGAGGAGAGGTTAAAGATTAGAGAAGAGAAGATGGAAGAAAAATAAAGATTAAAGAAGAAAAATCATAAATTTGAATGACTTAGCCTAAATTTATTTTTCTTTTTTATTTTTTGGCTTTGAAAATTGATGACCCACTCCAGTTTTCCAATCAAATTTGGTTCTCTAATTAAAACCACATAGATCAACCTAGTCCAAATGCAAAAATGGTTCAAATGGTTAAACCAAGTTGTTTTATTAAGTGGTAAACAATCGGAGTGGTCTGACTATCCCATCTGATTTGATTTTTAAAACACTGCTTTATACACATAAACACACACACATATATTAGTTTTAATACCAACATTCCAAAAAAAATAATTTCTGAGATTTCATAAATGTGAATTTGCTATGTTTACCGGTCCACATCAACAATTTGGTGGTTTCTATTTTATTTTTAAAATAACTTGATAATGATGATATCATAATGATTAATGCTGCATGTGTACACACTAGCTATATTGTCAAGAATAACATTTGTTTGTTTGCTTATCTCAATTTAACTCATTTATCATGCTTGCTCCTGATGCAGTATAAAAATTGACCTATTCAAAAAGGTCTGAATATTATAGCATCATTCTCTTCCAAAATAATGTATTTAATCTCAACTAACCCAAAATTATGTATTTAAATAAATAATGATGGAGGTTGTACATTTTGAAAGCTCACATTCAATGTCTTGAAAAAAATAATATTAAAAATATATGGCACACAAAATTCCTTCATGTGTGCCCCTAACAGGATATGAAAAGTCCACCTTTCCTTCGTTTGCTTTTTTCGGCTGACACCTTTTGTTGAAATTATTGATTTTATATTTTGTTTAAGGAAGTACTAATATGTACAATAGCCGCGACATCAAATCTTTGCTGTTACTATTAGCTGGTATGACAAAAATTTATTATATACCTATTTCTTCTGAGAGTCATCTAATATTTGTTCAAGGCTCAGCATGCTGAGACTGAGCCTTGAGCAAGAAAAGACAGGTCTCTGTGCGTACGTAATTTTATTTTATTTATAACTCAAACTTGATATTTTATTTAAGAGACGTCAAGTCAATTCTATTTGCACCAACTATTTTTAATTAGTTTTTTAAAGCTTAATCCATCATGCCCTAATTACAGGGTAAATTTAACTTGTAACTGTTTGACTTCCAATTTTGCCCTTTACTAAAGTTGAAAACCTAAATAAACTACTAAATTAACTAAGGAAGTTACAATTTGGTGCAATTAAGGAAGTATAATATTGAGAAAAAATAACTACTAAATCTTTGTTCTATCTTTAGGCCTAAATAGGATTTTAAAATTATCTTATAATTAGGACTTCGAGGAAGTATTTTCTAGTAAAATTACCGGTCATTGTTGGATTAAGAAAAAGATTTAATACACTTTCAAAAAAGTCTCAAATTAAACTCATGTTGCTTTTGGATGTAAGGAATTTAGATTTGGATTTGTATCAAATCTACCATTTGAATTCATAAAAAATTATGAATTTAGGTTTCATTTACATTTGAATTTACAATTTATTATAATTCCTTTATAATTTAAAATCCCTCATACATCCTAATTATTTAAAATTTTAGCCACTCAACCTCTCTCATGCTCTTCCCATTCATTTCCCATCTCCCTTTTTCATTTTCTTTGGGTTTACAATTTTTTATTCTACACACACAAAGAATTTTAAACGTGAGATTTAATATAAATATGAGATTTTAAATTTAAAACTCAAATCTAAATTCACCAATCTAAATGCTACCTCAAGATTTTCTATTTCCTTTTGGAATAAGAAGAGGGTATCAGTGTGAAAAAGAAAACAAGAGTGAAACTTTTGTCTTACAACATTATATAAGGTTTTTATTTGAATTGTTAATTTTATAAAAAATATCTCTTCAATCATGTAACCCCTAACACTATTAGTCTCAAATAATTTTTTGTATCAATCATTATTGTTATAAAAAATTAAACTTATTTGAGAATGTATATTTTGTCAACATTTAATAGCTCAATGTTGGCATTTTTTTGTTAATAAAACTAATGGTGTTAAAGTTAGGTGATTGAAAATGTACTTTACAAGTAGACTTGGAATAACATGATTTGGTATGTAGAGTATAAAAACTAAAAAGGAAAGGGTAGGTTTCTCTCCACTATTTTTTTCGTGAATTACCTTTCCATTATAAATTTAAACCGTTTAAATTAAATCTATACTTTTAAAAATTATCAAATTTAAATCATTAAATCCAATTTAACAGTATAGATCTGCAGTGATCCCCCTCTACTCTCTTTTGCAAAAGAGGAAAATCAACTCCATAAGAGAAGGGCAACTACAAGTTTTCATAGTGTTCATCACTGAATAAATTAAAGAAAAATAAACTTTATCAAAATATGTCAAATAATTCCAAAGTGTTCATCACTGACTTTATCCTTGTGTGTGTGTGTGTAATATAGACACGATTACGATCTATCAGGAATGAAGATAAGTAAAGTTTGGGTAATTTGTTGTTAGATTTATAGAATTTTGACATTTTCAATATGGAAATCCATGCATAGATCACTGTCAATTTCATTGTTAATCTCACATCTCTTAAGCTCCTTACTGGACAATTAAACTAAGAAAATGAATTGGCCAGTCATCTAACAAATCGCCATCAAATATATCACTGATTGATTTTATTCCAAAACTTAAATATGAACAAGGAGAGAAAATTTGAAATTAATTAACACTTTATGAGACGACAAAACAAAATCGTCATCTATAAATCTCTCTTCTGAGTTCTGAACATGAATTAATACACATTTTTCTCTTTTTCTTTCCATTCTAAGCCCAAGAACCTGCACGGCGAAAACCTAACCTTGTACTCCGAAATGGTCTCAAGCTTTGGTGACCAAACCCGATCCTTAGACCTCACAAGCTGATCATAGTGCTTCTTCAACTCGGGAGTACTACATAGAAAGCTATAGTTACTATCACCATGACGATCTGTTTCTTTGTCATTATTTGCATTAATAAGCCTCGTAATGAACTCAGGCTTCACCTTTATGAGAACCCTCCCATTGGAGCCCTTTATGTACTCAAAAGGACTAGGGCTCTCTCCAAACTTGATCGGACATGGTGACGACGACGACGACGTACTGGTTTTGTTGGGGCATGATGACGATGAACTTAGGGCAGCAAGGAACGACGGCGAAAGGACCTTGCCGGTGAAGCGATCTATGGGAAGAACGAAGTAGGTTTGGCCTGGCATGAGCTCGTCGTCTAGGGCTAATGCCGGCACCGGGAAGCCCATGAAGAAGGAGTCGGCGTGGCATACCATCTTGTCCGGGAACTCGAACATGATCGCGCCGGCGACCTGTTTTCCTCTCAGGAACCTTGTCGTGCCTTCGCAGAAGACCAGCTTTATTGAAGACGAGGACGAAGAAGTCGGATTTTGCTGCGCAAAACACGGCGTCGCTACTGCATTTCCCATATCGGAAACTAGGGAGTACGTATTGCTTGAAGCAAGTAGTAGAATCAAAGAGCGTTTTGTTGAGAGAATTTTCAGATGGATCTTCGCTTCTCAGTGAGCTTGAAGAGGCAAAATCTGGAGCTCCATTGTAACAGAAACGTTAGAGGGGATGATGATGATGGAATGAATTGCAGTGACGAGAGAAAGAAGAGGGAGGATCGTTATATATGATCGGAACGTGGACGGTGGGAAAAAAGGGGAAGGATTGACTCTGATGATAAAGTCAAGGTTGCTTTCGGCTTTAAGGTTTCATTGGATCGGGTCGGTGGTTTTGGTCAGCCATGGCGGTTTGAACATACTACTCTCTCTCCCTCGTGACATGGGGCTTGGATGTATAAGTTCTGTTTTACAATTTTATTTGACTGGCTAAAAGCTAGACAATAACTTGAATATTTCATAGTCTTTCATTCATCTAGTATTTTGAAAGATTAACAATCCAAAATAATATTAGAAAAAATTGCATATTTAATCATTTGACCTTACATAATTTTTATTTTAGTCTCTTAATTTTATAAAGTATTTTTTAATTATCTAACTTTAACACATTTATAATTTCATTAATAAAAATTTTTGACATTAATTTTAAATATTTCATAAACATTATCAAATTAAATGTTGAGATAATATTAATTTTAATTTTTAAAAATAATAATGATTGGCATAAAATATTATCATTTGAGACTAATGATATTAAGGTAGAGGATCAAAAAGATATTTTAAAAAGTAGTTATGGATTCAAATCACTACGAAAAATTAGACTTTTGGTGGAGATAAAAAGTCACCGCTAAAAGTTTTTAACAGTGATTTTTCAATGCTAAAAGTTCATCGCTATAACAATCATCTTTAATAATTTTTGCCGATGACAATATTTGTCACCACCAAAAATATACTTCTAGTAGCGGCATTGTCATTAAAAGTATTTTTGGTGGCAAAAAATGTTGCCACTAAAAAAACAATTGTCGTTGCCAATTTTTTTAAAGAAATAATAATTTATTTTATACCACATCACTTTGTCACATGTGCATTACATGATGCCATGTTACTTGCTATCTTGTACCACATTACAGGCCACGTGTTTGACAAATGATGCCACATCACCCCACCACCTCATGCTATGTCACATGCCACATTTGCACCTCCTTAAGCCACCTCATACACCACACCACCGCCATGCAATCATGTCACCTACCACATATGTGCCTCTTCAAGCCACCTCATACACCACATCACCACCACACGTCACGTCACATCACATATTTGTTTCAAAATTTGACAAAGTCAAGTTTGAACCCTTGACCTCTTCAACCTTCAAGTCTTAAAGCTCCCTTATTTGCTAATTGAACTGAAATGTACTTACATTTATCATATGCAAAATTAAATATATGTTATATAATTATATACACATATATCAAGTAATATATTTTTAAAAAGATATACATATATTGTATTTTATTTTCAATTATTAATATGACAAAATGATTTATATGAATATTTAAATTATAATTTTAATAAAATATTATTTTTTTACTAGTAAATATTATTTTTGTTAGGAAAATAACTTAAATAAAAAATTTTTAAATATTAAATAATATTCTTATATACATTGTAACCAATTTTTAAATTTTATTTTTTTAAATGAAAATTATTAAGTATATAATTTATTTATAAATATGTATTATATTATTTTACGTTAAATATCTTTTACTTTTTTCTTCTCCATATTTTTCTCAAAAATTGATAAACTAAATGATTAACTTTTTATCTTCTCTCAAAATAGCTAAATGTTTCTCCCTCTTTTATTAAAAATATATTTTATCTATAATTTTTTAATATTTTAAAAATTATTTTAATAAAAAATTAATTTTAACCACATAAATTTTGTTAATAGTCATTTTGAATAATTTTAAAAATGAATACTAATAACTTTTATAATATATGATCATTACAAAAATCTCATATGTGATCAATCGAGTTAACATCTAATCATCCTCAAGCTCATAACAAGGTGAATTTAAATAGTTATTTATATTATTTTTAGTAATAAGTAGTTATAAAAATGTTAGCAACTTCTTTTTTATAACAATGAAAATCTAAATAAAGTAGGAGGAATTATATAGAATCCTTGTTTAAAAGCCATTAGAGCTCAGTAGAAGATGTAGACACTATATGTATATCAAGCTAAGCATCAATTGTGTAAGATACCAAGTAGTCTATAATATCATTTGTATCTCGCAACATTTGTACCACTTTAACATTTCAATACCATTTATATATTTGTATGTAAGTAATAATTTATGTATAACTTAACCAAATTATAATTGAAAGTAATAACATAATTTTTAAAAAAATATGAGCTATATATGTCTAAAAAAAATTATGAATAATATAAAATTAGAAATAATTTAATAATTAAACTTAGTATAACTTGACCTTTTTTTTGTTTCACAATCCTATATATCATTTATTTCTAATTCTATACATAAAAATAATAAATTTAATTTCATAAATGTATTTTGAATGATTTTATTCAATTTCAAATTTTTAAAAAATTCATAAATTTTTTTAAAATGTAAATTATAATTTTACAAATGTCACCGTGAAAAGTAAATTATATAAATTATTATTTATAAAAATAATTTTGACAACGACAAATGTCACCATCGAAAGTGGATTATATAAATTATTTTTTTAAAAATACTTTTGGTGGTGACAAATGTCGCCACCAAAAGTGAATTATATTAATTATTTTAATTTTTAAATTATTTTTTATAAAATTACTTTTGTTGATGACATGCAAATTATATTAATTATTTTTTATTTTTAAATTATTTTTTATAAAAATACTTTTGATGATGATAAATGTCGCAATTAAAGTTACTATCAAAAGTCCACTTTAGATGTCATCGCCAAAAATATAGTTTTGATGGTGAATTTTAGCCATGACAAAAAAAGTTCACTTTTGGTGACAACTTTAATTTGTCGCTGTTAAAAGTCGCAGCCAAGAGTCATATTTTTTGTAATGAATTAAAGAAAAATTTTATATAAAATGGAGGATCAATTGTATACTTTTACCAAAAGTAATCATATTTCTAATTGTTTTGTTAAGATACTCTAGTTTTAAAAGTAATCAAATATACATTCACAAATGCTACTTGGAGATATATATTGTAAAATTTGAAAATCATTAAGGAAAAAAAATCATTTCTCAAGATTATAACCCACCACAATAATTTATACTTTTCATAAAAATTTTAAACAATAAATTACAAGGACAACACATTAACAATACACCTTATCCTATTATGTGAAATATGCTACATGAATTAAATGATACTATTGTATTATATCATTAATCGAATTTTGAGAAATATTGCAAACCAAGAAGTTCTATTCAACAACTTTCATATGATTGTTTTTTTTGTCTTCCTCTATCCCTTTTTATAGAATTCAAAGTTATCTATTTTATTTTTCTCACCAGTGACTCTCATGACCTATATTCTTTACACAAATCAAACCATCTCAAACAATTTCTACAATCTCTCCACCCAATTTTTTTATATATATGCTCACTTCAAATTTTATTTTTTTGGTGCATGCCCACATATTCATATCAACATTCTCATCTTCACCCTTCATAAAATGTGAAAATCAAATATATATTTCGGATCAATGCAATACACGGGGACCGGCACCTCTATATTTATATATACACACTAAACACAACTCATCCACAGATAAATTGTGTGTATAATAAATTTTGTGTGTGTGTGTGTAGCGTGTAACATACATTTGCTACTTTGACGTAATCATAAAAGCTTTTAATCATTGACCTTGTTTTTAATATATCTTCAAACTTAATTAAAACCTTCTTTTGTTCCCTTTTCTTACACTTCTAATGTTGGGCATGACATGTATACGAACAATCAATGGTCAAACCCCGGAACCAAATAAGTGCAAATTATATTAATAACCTTGCATTGAATTTTGGCATTTCCAAAGGTTGTAGGGATATCAAGTGTGTATTATTGATCTAGTCTATAATACTACCTTTTGAGAAATTGTTATATGAGCTAGGTGCACCATGTCAACATCCATGGTCTATGATGCAAATGAAAATTGAATGGACACTGTAAGTACATGGGTTGTAAATGTAATTAATGACAAATCAAGATTGATCCCATAAAAAATTAAATAAATTGGTAAATAGGAATTAAATTTTTAATTTAATTCAAGTTAAGCAAGCAAATTATAGTGGTGAATGATTCAATTTAAAAATAAAAATGTAAAATGAGTGACTAATTAAGGTTTCAAAGCATTCTATAGTCAAGAGGACAATTAGAAAAGCACCTTAAAATTTTAATATTTCATTTTTTCCATTACACTCAACTTACCGATTAAATTAATTTTAATTTTAGTTTTAAGGGTTGGGATATTAGAATTAATATTGAACATCTTTCTATTACCAAAATCCTCCTAATTCTAAGCCAACAATTTATTGCCAAAATTAGATTAAGAGCATTAAGTTTAAATCATTTCTGGCCACTTAGGTCCTTTAGGTATATTCCTATGTTAGAAAAAAATTAACTGTAGTTAATTCTAAGTATTCAATTCCAATGGTCTAAATAGAAATTTTCTTCCAAAGTTCATTCTATTCCTCCAAATAATCACTTAATGGTGGACAATCATCAAGCAACACAAAGCTAAACGAGAATTACAACATAAAACATTTATTAATCACAAATTAATTGGTAAATCAAGATAAATTAGAGCAAATAAGTTCATAGAACTCTATAATATCATAGTTAAGTCACATATAGTTAAATACAATCCTAAAACAACAGAATAATGGGCCAAAATCAAACATAGGAAAAGAAAGAGAAAAGTGAAAGAAAAATCAATGAAAATGTAGATGGTGATAAATAATCTTACTCCCAAGCTTCAAAATCATCCCAAACTCTCCAAAAATCACCTTTGAACCTTTAAAGAACGTAAAAAATGAAGCCTCTTTTAAAAAACTCTTGTTTTCCTCTTTTATTAGACAAAAAAGTTGAAACTATGCATTCTAATGCTATAGCACCCGCTATAGTAGGCTCTATTTTTAGTTTAAAATTTGACTTATAATATTGACCTACTATAACAGCTACTATGGTGGGTAACCATTAAATTCCAATTTTTTCATTATCATATTTTTCCTCCTCCACTTCTTCCAAGCTTTTACTTTAAAATAAATCAAAATATAATATTTACAGAACAAGCTAACTAACATCAAAATGAACTCTAAATACAAAACAATTAACTAAAAATAACTAGATGACTCTCTAATTAATCAATAAAACTCCTCAAAATACATGAAAAAATAGAGAATCATCAATCCATCTACTAAAAACATGATAGTTAGATTATAAATTGATTTTGACATTAATATTGATAGAGAGAGAAAATGGAAGAAATTAAATGAGTATTCTATTATAAAAATAAAGTCATTAAAAATAATGGCACATAAAATTTTATCTGATTGAATTGGTGCAATTTTATTGGATCAATCATGGATGGCATGATGCACTAGGCCCATCTAAGATTTTTTTGTTATAGAATATTGTAACTATTTCACAGTTTTAAAAAAAGAGAGGTGAAATCTTAATCTCTTGAAAAATTTTACGCCTTTTCAATCATATTTTCGTTAAATATCTTATATAAGTGCATTAATTATGAAAATTAAAATTCCAATGCATTTTTTTAAGAAAAAGTATAGGAAGAATCAAATTCAAGAACCTGGTAAAAAAACTAAGTAAGTTTGTTCCCATTTTAATAAGTCCCATTTGAGGGGGGAAAAGCATAAGTTTGTTTCCATTTTAACAAATCCCGTTTGAGAAAAAATAAGTTCATATTTTTATTTTAACAACAATTCATTTCATATTGATTATTGTTTGTAAATAAGTTTCTTGTCAAATTCTTGGATGTAATTCTCTCAAAAAAAAATATTATAAAAATTATATAATGTCATATATTTTTAAAACAGTATTTTTAAAAGAAGTGCAGTTAAATAGAAGTTGACTTATTAAAAATACAAACTGTAATATTCACGAAAATACATAAAAAATATAGACTATATTAATGTAAAATATAAAAAATTAAATGCTTTAGATATTATTAATCTAGACTTATTTTTTTTTTATGAACTAAACAAAGCTTAGAGAAAAGAACCTATGTACGGGTGATCGGAGGAATATGTAAACACACCCATCACACCAGCGAGAAACCAGAAATTAGATTCTATAATTTCTGGTGATTGCAATGTGTCCTAATTTTTTTTTAATTATTCATATTTATACATAATTAAGAGGCCATGCATTGGTGGCGTTGTATATAGAAATGTTTTGGGGTAAAGCACGTCCGTATTATAATTTCTTTTTCTCAAGCAAGTTATTTTTTTATACTTTATAATCATAATATTTAATTCCATGTGCATTACGAAGGAGTTTCAATTTTCTTGAAAGAATTGTTTAGAAAGGGAGGTACTCACAATTCAAATGTAGCACCTTTTTTATTTCGGTTGACTAAACGTCAGTCTATTTTAAAAAAAAATAAAAATAAATTTGTCAAAAAGTTTATTTAATAAGAATTAATTTAATACAAATCAATTATTGTAATGAAATTTACTTTTTAGAATAGGTTTTTTGATGAATTTTCAGATCATGGCTTCACAGGCCAAAATTATAATTTTACTCAATCGCTATATATATATATTAATTGTTTATTGGTAATTATTTGAAAGCGACTAATTTTTTTTAGAGATAACAGTTTTACAAAAAATTTGATTTATGAATTATAAATTTTTACTCGTACATTATAGTTACAGTTATAAATAAAAGCTAAATTAATAGTGATAACATTGTTTTTGTGTTCCAATCACAAATTATACTTCAATTTTAACTAATTTTTTAATTTTATGATATTTATTTATAAATAAATTCGCTCTGCAGGGCTATTCATAATTTATTATTATTATTGTTATTATAATAAAAAGGTTCTAGCAATATTGAATGTTTGAATTGGTTGACTGAGACTTGAAAGACCACGTGTGGCAATTTATTAGCCCTCCAGAAAAATCCAATCCAATGGACTACCAAACCAATTCATTTAATAACATTCAGATATAAAAAAATTAGTCAATAATCAGTAACATTTTTAAAAAGTCCACTTTTGGAGAGTTCGTTGGCGGTTTTTGCCCAACCGTGATGGCCATGCTAGTTAAAGAATTTGGACCTAAACGTTTTTATTTTTTATTTTTACGAGAAATGTACGTATATAAGTTTCTCCTGCAGACTAATATTCTTTATCGTAATGAGGACAAAAAGTATACACTCACCAACCTCCCCTTCTACTTGCTCCGACCCCAATTTCAAATGCTCCCTCGGTTTTTACATATATGAAAAAACATTATATCATACAATATAATTTAAGAAAGTGAATTGGTTATAATAATCATATCTAAAAATAAAAAAAATTAAATTAAAATACTCTATATTAATATAAACATGCATTAATTATTTTTCATAAATGTAAATTATGAGGGGTGATTTTAAAAATGTGTAATAAATGCTTATTAAAATATGTAATTTTACTTATATAAAAAAATAAATAAAAAGTGATAGTTTTTCTTATAAATAGAAACAAAGGGAGCATCAAGTACTCATAGAGAGAAAAAAAGGTTAATTTTAATTTTATTTATAGAAAATTTTATTATTTACTATATTCATTTTTACTTTTATGTCTTTATTAAATGTTCTGAAAAAATATTAAAAATAATTATTTTTGTTTTCACTGGGGGCAAAGATGGAAACTTATAAAATTTTATAATAGAATTAATAAGGTTTATTTTTTTTTTGTTACAATGAAATATGCTAAAAGTGACTTTTAAATAAAATTAGAAGACTATGTCATAATGATAGTTAATTTTTTTTTAAACCCAAAAGTTTAAATGAGTTGGGTTTCACAGACTCATGAAGATTAAGGTATATCTTTAGACTTAGAAAACTTATAGAGGTACTTATAGAATGCACATTAATAAGGTTTTTACATTGATAACGAGATTTGAATCCAAAACTTTATGAGCTAAATCAAATATTTACCAACCATATCAACCTCACTTATAATGATAGTAAATTTTAGTAGAGGACAAAATTGAAAAGTTAAACATTTTTTTAATTGAGAAATTAGTTAATCTTTATAATGAGACCAAAGTGACTGCATTCTTTTGAGGAAAAGTTTTAGTCAACCCCTTGACCCAATATAATTTCAATCAACCCTCCCAAAACTTTGAAATTTCATTGTACATTTAAAAAATTTAAATGAAATTAAAGAGCTGACTTAGATAATTTTATTGTTTTTAGTAAAGTTAGGTGCATGAACAACTTATGTAAAAAAATGAATAATTAATACATGAAAAATGAATAGTTGATGTAACTACAATGAGAGTTACAAATTGATAATAGTACTATATTATTAATGAGAATTGTAAACTCCACCAATATTAGTTGTTCATTTTTCTTATAAAAGTTTTTCAACTTCACCAAAAAAAATAAAGTCATCCGAGCCATTTTTTTAATTTTATTACAGTCCCCAAATATACATTGAAATTTCAAACTTTTAGAAGATGTTGACTAAAATTACACTGGATTGACTGAAATGTTTCCCCTTCTTGGGGGGCGGGGCGTGGGGAGGCGGTGGGGGAATACTGTTTATTATTCATAAATGATATCCTGTAGTTATGAAAAGTATACCTAGCTCTCATGTATCGTATGGAGTGTAAGAAATACTTCGGTTGTTTTTCTTCAAGACTTGATTAAGATTTTAGAACAATGATTAAAAGAGGGAATACTTAATGACTGATTAAATTGTAATCATAATTATCATACAAATGGGTGGTGAAAAAATAAATAACATCACATCTTAACTCAACTTAAAATCTCATGTTTACAGATAATTCATCTTTTATATATAATATACTCTCCTCATTTTAAAAATGTAAAGCATTTTAATATTTCAAAATTTAATATATTTTTTTCAAAAACACCCCAAATAAATAACTCATTTTATATTTACTTTAATGTAAAATATCTTATTAAATGCGTAAATATTAAAAGATGGTATTAGTTTTAAAATAATTAATTATTTTGTTGAGGGTAAAATTTAATTAAAAATATTTTATATTTTTTAAAAGAAAAGGAAGCACTTAAGCCCAGCGTTAGACTTCATCATTGAAGTGGCATCTCTATGATGGCAATAAAATGATTGAGCGTACAAATCATAATGGTTAAAGGAGCACAAGTGGCACAAAGGCATGAGCAAGGAAACACGCACTAATTTTTTTGATCGTCAAGAGGATGCAAATTGCATTAATGAAAGCAAAAACAAAGGTTCAACAGTACAAGGAAGTAAAGACCGAAACGAAAATACTTCAAAAAAAAAAAACCATAAAACAGCAACAGAAAAACATAACCAGATATTTAAACAAGTTAGCCAATTCCTTCCCTGTCAGTCACTACATTCTGCTGAACTAATTCAGACGAGAATTGATGAACTGAATCCCTGAGTAGAAGAGAAGCTGGAGGAGTTGGTGGTAACAAAACCAGACCTGATGGTCGCAACTCCCTTGAAGCCTGAGCAGCCATCGAATCAGCAGCACGATTCCCATCCCTGGGAACAAGAGAAAATGATAGAAAACTCAGACTGTTATTTCAGTCAAATCTTTTAGAATGTGATGGCATTTCCATGCACGCGAATGGTACTCTCTGGATGTCAAAGCCCTATAGAGAACGGCGCAATCCATCTCCAAGGTAACCTTAACCGGAAAAAAAAAGTCAGCTAATTCCACCGCCTTCTTCACACTCAATAGTTCTTCTGCCGTGAATCTTGAGCTTTCTGAGATTCGATCCATCCAACCTTGAACAAAACAGCCCATAGAATCCCTACACAAAACGCCCAGACCTGCAGCTGAAGTGAACTTACGAAAGGCCGCATCTTACTTAATTTTAATCTCACCCAAGGGAGGTTTAGTCCATTCAACTTCAGACCGGCAGTCTGTTAAGAGATTCTGGAGGGAACAGACCATTATTTTTCCAAAATTCATTGATCATACTGTTGATTGTTTCAATAATCTCCATAGGATCAAGAGGCAAATTATTGAAGATGAAATCACACCGCATTTTCCATAAATTCCAGCCAAAAAAAAAAAAAGTCACATACGCCATAACATACTCCAAATCCTCAATATCCAGAAACAGCATCCCTTCAAACCACTTCATAAAACTTTGTATAGCAGCAGGGTTAATAAGAATACTTAGTGGACTACCAAACCAAGCTGCCTTTACCCAAGTACAAGTTAAAAAGCATATGTTCAACAGATTCAACATCATTAAAGCATATAGGACAAACAGGACTATGACCACATCTCCTCCTATTCATTCCTTCATTTATAGCAACAGCCTTAGAGAGAATTCTCCAAATAAAAAATTTGACCTTGGGATAATCCTTTGACTTCCAGATTGTTGCCCGCAATCTGTTAGCTACCTGTGATGATGTCTCTGTACCAGCCACAGCTCATTCCAGTTCTTTCCCCAAGTCTTTTGTATCCTGCTCGAACCGATTACATGCAATTAGTATTACCAGCCCACACAAGTTGATCTACCTTTCGTGATGGAGAAATAGGAATTTTCAGAATTAATCTCAATATTCCTGGTGCCACAGAGTCTCCAATTTCATGAACATTCCATCTTCCGTCCTGTATTAGAGTAGTTACTGGCAGAGACTCATCCACTACAGTTTCTTTTTTCTGCAATAAATACTTATCAGCTCCAGGAATCCACGGATCCTTCCACACTTGAACATAATTTCCTCTCCTTATTTGCCATCAGAGGTCATTTTTCAAAAACTCTCGTCCACATAATATACTATCCCAGATCCAAGAAGCCTTTGAACCTCTGACCGCAATCATGTACATTGGAATTGTAACTAACAAATCAGAATCATATCCATAAAATGCATAAATATTCAATCTACACAAAAACACTGGTCATGGATGAATGATATGGATATTGAGGATTCTAAAGGCTTATAGGTTAGGGTCAACTTCTTTTGAGGTTCCATTTTGACTGATTCAACATAATTTTGTACTAGTACAATCTCATGTATGAATCGAAGTGGCAGTAATAACCTAAAGTGTCAATGTCACTATAATAAATGATATATTATAAAAGTAGAATCTATTACCCAGTTATGTTAATGTGCATGCTAAATTTGTAAATTTTCAGTCACTTTGTCCCCCTTTTCTCTTCCGAACTCTTTTTTCCCATTTGAAAGAAAGGTTTCAAACCCGCATGCATTGCTCAGGGGTTGCTCTAGCTTCAATCGAATTCCAAAATTGAAATTATTTCCTTACTTTGGACAAGCTTGCACGGCCAATACAGATCAAAAGGGACAACTAAGTAGATCTGCAAATTACTGAAACATGATAGGTTACAGCATAATAGAGCTGGTGATTCCCAAAAGATTTGTCTGTCATTTCCTAAGGCTTGCGTTAGACAATCTAGGAAGGGAGGTAACTTAGAGAAGACTGAGACCAATGGTCAAGAGGTTTATTTGAAGGTTTATAACTGTAAGATTCAAATGATAAAAGAAAAGTCAGGTTAGGTGTAGCCTATGATATGAGTAGTGTCAATAGGGGTAATGACTACTTTTGACCCTTTAAATATGTAGCTTCGTGCTGAGGGAGGAGGACTTCTTTTGGAGAATTGTGGTCAAGTGAGGAGAGTTCTGATCTCTCGAATGCCAGATTAGGGGTGGAGAAAATCATCTTTTCTTCATCATTTTATCTTTCTACTTTAGTTTGTATTTGTGAGAGGCTTGTGTTCGTGCTGCTGCTCAGAGGGTGTAGTTGATGTTGTTTCATGCTCTGTAATTGCCATCTCAGTGTAGTTTCGGTCTTTATTTTGCTTGTAATCCCACTCTATTATTCAGCAATAGTAATTTTTAGTTACATTTACAGTTTATTTTCTGGTTTTGCTTGTTTTTAAGCTTAATATAGTAGAGAGTTCCATCACAGCACATCTGGTTTCCAATGGGGCAAGGAAAATGAGGTTTTTATTCCTACCCACTATAATAAGATAGTTATTTTTCCCATCGTATGCATCATATTTCAAGCAATATTGAGAACTTATCCACATAAACTCTGCAGCCAAGTGGCAAACATGTTGAAATAGGTAAACCTTTAGATAAGTAAGGGATAGATTCTCCACAGTAAGGCAGCTGAGCATTTGATATTTTACTACATTAAATAGATAAATGAATAATAGGCTGATAAGGTGATAGTGTTTTTAAATGACAGGCCTATTTGATTACATACTAAAATAACATTGCTTAAGATAAGCAGGGTGCGATGTGAATAATAATACTATCATTTAAAAGTAAAAATAATATAAACAAGTAGTTTTCAGCCTCTGACATCAGAGCTCTCCTCATATCACAAACTTTACAGTTCTTCCAAGGACAAATTTCTTACATCCGATGAAATGCTTTATCCAAAATCACAAGCACAAGTCTGGGAGATGAACTAAGGACAAAGTACTGAGTACACATGGAATATAAGTCAACAGCAACAGCCATTGATGTTTCTTAATCAACACTGTTGAAACTACACATGGCATAATGTGACATCATGGGATTGTCCCGTGAACACGATAATGATCACTAAGATGACATGTTAACAGGATAAATGAACTATGTACATTAGAAACCTTCACTCAAACTTTAGTAATTAATTAATGGCTTATTTCAAGCGAAAACTTTCAAAAGAAAGGAAAAAATATTTGTTGGGGGGGAAAAAAGATTTCTCACCACTCTGCTGATTAAGTAGTCTACAACGTCAAGATGTCCATTAGCAGCAACCATGTGAAGAGCTGAATTCAAACATTAAGGAAGCAAAGTCAGGAACACATGCAAAAGTTCATCCAATATGAGCATTTTTTTTTTCCAATAATTGTTCTTATTTTGTCCTCTGAAACTATTATTTTCTTTTTTTCCACGTGATGCTATAATTCTTTTTCTGCTAATTGATTTTCAATTGGAAAAATCAAAGTTTCTAGTATAACCCAAAATGTTTATTCTTATTCCAAAGATATTAACAATTTCCATACAAGCTTTGTGGTACCACCAGCTGCTAGCTTTAATATTTACCACAGCAACATAACCTCCATCTCTTCAGCATTTCAATTTTATGCTCTTAACACTTGCTCCAATTTTATAAAGCGATATGAAACGTCTATATGGATAAGGAAGTTACAAATATAAAGCATGCTGACATGCCAGAACAGTATCTTGTATAATACATCTGTTTCATATGATTTCAGGCTCCAATTCTATAAGTTTACAAGGAGCACAGCAGCATGTAACTCTTGGCTTCCCTATGCCTGGTTAGAACAATTAAAGAAGCGAACTTCATCATTGAAGCTGCATCTCTATAATGGTTATAAAATGATCCTAGTTTACAAATTATAGTTCTCAAAGGAGCACAAGTGGCACAAAGACATGAGGTGCAAGAGCAAGGAAACAAACACTAGCCCACAAAATTGTAACCAACAAATGAGAATCATATCCATAAATTACATAATATTCAATTTACTAACAAATATTCAATTCTTTTCTTTTTTACCTTTCACCAAATTTGAAATTCTCGATCATCCTTTAATATTTGAAGTCAAAAATAGAAACATTAAAGGCAAACAATTTAAAACAAAGAAGTCAATAAATAAATCTTAATGTGTTTTGGTTTATTTAAGCTTGAAAATGTGTGGTGTAACTCCTGTGCAGGCAGATTGAATCATCAAGTTCCCATTGAAATAGGATCCAATTCACAGGTTATTTCTCAATTCATTTGATCCTCTGAATTTCTTTTTCCTCTCCAAATAATCAGTCTTCCTATATGATTTCATTTATTTTTTTCAATTACTTACCCAGATTTCTTTCCTAATTTACAAATCCTCTTGTCTTCTAACTTCTTTCTTTACACTGGCAGAATTCAAAAGGACTGTTTCTAGATGTGCACAGAATTCATCTTTTTTTATAAATTTGATAGTAATAATTAGGCAACTAGTTTACTTCCAATTATTACCCAAAGCCCACCCTACAACTTACAAGAAGGAAAACATTGCACATGTGCGACCAAAATTTTGCTGTCAATAACTAAGTTAGAAATGGCCTTACCTTCATGATGCCACAGGATAGTCCACCACCGCATCCCATTCTCCTTTCTGGTCAAAGTCCCGTTCTCCTTCCTTTGATAATATTCTCTGGTCACTTTTAGACCTGACACATTACAAAATTACATGAGCAAGTGAATCATTGCAAGCCTGCAAAATCAAGACCTAGGAACTATGATTCTCAAAGAGAACATGTCCAACCTTCATATATGGATGTAAAACGAGATGCTAATATGTCCAAATAGCTTCTACCATAAAAATCTTAGAATTTGTCATCTGGAATAAATCCTCTTTGCAGCATCTCTTCATGAAAGCGGAATGCCTCTTTCAGGTTGTTTTGAGAGACATGCCCATTTATCAATGATGTGTATGTTGATCTATCAGGATTGACACCTTTGTCAATCATCTTACGCAAGACCATCTCAGCCTCTTGTATTTTGCCTCGCCTGCAATATCCATTAAGAATTGCATTGTATGTGATAATATCAGGTAGTATACCTTGTTTTTCCATGCTATTAATGAAAATGAAAGCTTTGTCCAAATTCTCTTCCCTTAGAAAAGCATTTATTAGAGTATTGTATGTGATACTGTCAGGTAAAACTCCCTCCAAAATCATCTTGTTCAAGAACTCACTTGCCTTTGATGCATCACCAGACCGACAATAGCCCTTTATAATGGTGTTGCAATTAACCAAGGTCGGTTTTATACCTTTTTCTACCATTTCATCCCACAACCTGAATGCTTCAGAAACAAGACCTAAGCTGCAGTATCCATTTATCAAAATGCTAAATGATATATGGTTAGGAAAAATTTCTCTGTGTATCATGTCATACCACAACTCCTTTGCTTTTTCCATTTCACCCATTTTGCAGAAGCCATCCATCAACGTATTATATGTCACAACATCAGGCTTTAAGTTCCTTTGAGTCATAGTCTCAAATAAATTAAGCGCTCTTGTCATGTTTCCATTTTTACAATAGCCATGAATGATTGTGGTGAGGGTGAAGAAATCAGGAAAAATCCCCCTTTCCACCATCTCATTATATAGCTCATCAGCATCAACAAGCATATTTTCCCTACACAATCCATTCAGTATAGCATTGTATGCAACCACATCCATTAGACAGCCCTGCTCTACCATTTCATTTCGCATCTTCAAAGCCTCAGACATTTTTCCACTTTTGCAATACCCATCTATAAGAATAGTATATATAACAGTATCAGGAACCAACCCAGCATCCTTCATTTTCCCAAAATATGCCAAGGCCTGGTCAGAGTATCCATTCCTGGAGAACCACGCTATAAGTGTGCTAAAGCTAAATAAATCTGGAACAACTCCATGCTGTGACATTTCCTTAAAAATCTTTTCAGCTTCAGAAATATTATCCTTTTTACAACTTTCAACAAGCAATGTATTAAAAGTGGCAGTGTCAGGGTTCAATCCTATCCTCAACATCTCATAAAAAAGTTCCTTTGCTCTCACATAGTTTCCATTCTTACATAAGCCATTGATAATAGCATTATAAGTAAAAAGGCCAGGTTTCAACCCCCTAAGCTTCATCGAGTTCATTAATTCAAAAGCCTCTTCTACAAGCCCCTCACGACAGTGTGCACTGATTAGAGTATTGTATGTTACAGAATCTGGAAAAAGCCCCTTACCCTCCATGTTCGTCAAGAAAATTTTAACTTGGTCCATTCTGCAATCTTTGCACAAAGCATTAACCATAATATTTAGAGTGTATACATTCATCTGTGTTCCACTTCTCAAAATATCTTCATATATATTCCATGCCAAATCCATCCAACCAACCCTCACAAGAGCACCAAGAAGAGCATTACAAGCATTTATAGAAACACAAAATCCCTTACTTCTCAACAAACGAAATGCCTCACAGCCTTCTCTTAATTTCCTCGCCTGAACAAAAGTCCTTATCAACAAATCAAAAACAAAAGAATTGGAACCACAATTGACGTACGTTGAAAGCAAGGACTCGACAATTTCAATACGTGAAGCGCCACTCCTCCTTATCATTCTAAGAATCAAAGCCTGGGCTTCTGGTAGCATCCTACAACGAAATAAAATGTGAATCATTGCACTCAACGAGCGGGATGAGTGCTTAAAATTTGGACAATTTACCATGATTATATTGACAAACTTCTGACCCAGGACCAAGTTATCGTGACATCGATGAAGAACTTCAACCACAATTGATGGGTCTGAAGCACGGAAAAGGTGATTGCTCAGTGAATTGAGATTCCCTTGCCTCAAACTCAAGAAAACTTTTTCCACCAAAAACGCATCAGAAAGAGAACTTGAGGAAACTGATTCTTCGTTGAAATTTCCCAATGTCTCGTGGGTTCGAGGAGACCTGAGGCCACAGCTAGTGTCCGTAAAAGAGGAGAAAAAGCAGAAGCGACGCGCAACTAAGAGCTGGCCATAAGTACGAGGCTTTGTGCAGGCTGTGCCAACATCGACAGCAAGGTTATGAAGCAAAAGGCGTAGTCTCGCCATTTGAAGAGCTTAGGCAAGCTTACTTTCTCCAGGATGAACGATGCAAAATATTAGAATACGAAGGCGAAAGCAAACTTGCCAAACGCCATGGAAACACGCGGGGATGAGCCAAAAGTTATCATAATAATTCAACCACTCCCGCGATTACCTAATCCCCATTCTAGCAAGCACTCCCGCGATTACCTAATCCTCCAATGGAACTACCAACCAGAAATAGTTACTGAACTGTTCTTCCTTGTGAATCCTTGGAATCAAGTGGAACACCAATAGAAGCTAGGCTCACAAGATCATTCATCATCATATCGTGCAGCCTGTTAAACAAATAAAAGTTCAGAATGTAACATTCATTGCTGATGAATCAGCATGTTTCATAATATATGGGGATTTAACAATGAAGAAAAGGAATTATCGGTTGTTAACAATGAAGAAGGCGTAAGCAAGGCTAAGAGAAAGTATCTGATCAGCGAAACTCACCTCAAGCAAGGCATCTATATTCTCCTCTGTCACTTCAGTTGGAGCATTCTGTGCAGTGTTTGGCGCCTCCACTCCCATTGGCGACACATCAAGCAGGAATAGCAAAAGCCAGTGGCGGAACCACTTTTATGTGAGGGGGCCCCCACCTCTTCTCACGTGTGACCCATGTGTGTTATGGGTGTCCAAATATTGGACATGGCTTATGTGAAATCTAAAAATGATTTTCCTATATTTTTATTAAATGAGGACAAACATAAAACATTAATACCAATTTAAATATAATTAATTAAATAATTAAGAGATAAAAACAAATTATATCTTTTTAATAGAGAGAGTATATTTTAAAAAACCGAAGTGGCGGGCGAAGAATGAGGATGATTACGATAATTTTAAGTTAAAATCATGATCATAATTCATAAAATGTTGTATTAAATTCAAAATTGAAAAAAAAAAATTCTTCTTGCCAGCAATCTCTTTCTTATCTCAAATTATAATTATATTTAGACTGAATTAATTTTGATAAGAAGAAACGTATGCGTAATAAAAACACATTTTGTATTGGATAAATAAATAATTTTCTTTTTTACAATAATCAAAACATATTTTTTATAATATTAAAAAAATGTAAAGATGTTGGCTAGAAGTAAAGATGATAGAAAGTAGAAGTTAATTTATCATTTGTAACCGAAAAACAACAAGAAGGAACCAATCTTAATAAATTATAATTGACAAAAATCAAAATTGATTTTCTAGATCAAAACAAGAAGTGTTTGAAACGTTGTTTTCTATCAAATTGAAGTTTGACCCCGACGGCAAAAAACGGTAGTGAAAATGTCCCAGTCATATATATATGTATGTATGTATGTATGTATGTATGGAAAAACACCACATTTAAACCCAGCATTTTACTCGAATTTTAATGTAGATTCTTGCACTTTATTTTTAGTTTTTTAAGTTCCTGCATTTTCTTTAGTCAATACATTTTTATAAGAATATTGACGTAGCACAAACAGTATTAATAATATTGACATGCCAATTACCAATATTAGTTTGTGATTATTTGTTAAACTAATGCTAATATGAAAATTTTAATAAGAATAGTCAGAAACACCAAAAACCGCGTGAACGCATCTCTAGCAACAGCAATGGTAGACGCTCCCTAGTCACTGGCGACAAGTTGAATGGCGAGAAGAAAATGAAGAAGGAAGACTAAAAAGGACAGACATGGGTTTCCCTCACAAATTGACTCTCTCTCTCTCTCTCTCTCTCTCTCTCTCTCTATACCTAAATCAAGAAGAAGAAACACAAAAGGGAAAGAAATGAAGAGGAAAAAAATATCTGATGTGGTTGAGAGCTTAACAATAATTTCAAAAGGCTAAAATAATAATTAAAATGCTTCTTGAGGTAATAGAAAGATCAAAACCCACAACCTTATGATAATCTATTAGCAAAGCTCCACTAGACCACCAATATGTAAGTCTATCCCAACATAAATAAATATACACTTAAATATCTTATCATAAATTTTAATTAACTTCATAATAATTTTAATTAATTTTAATTTTTTCTAAAAAAATTCTTGGGTCATTACATAGTTACACCTTATGTAAATTGTAACATCCTCAATTTCAAATTAAGTTAATTAAACTCAAATAGACTAAGTAAGTGTATTAATGAGGTGTGTGGTCAGAAGGGTTTAGCTTGGTGTAATTATTGTGATTTCAATCCTAAAAGTAGATTCGGATCAATTGTGGGCCACCCGGCAAGGAAAGAAGAAGAAAACTAAAGATTTGCTCTCTATGCCCTATCTCGCGGCCCGTAATTAGTCCCCCGAGGCGCACAGAGGCAGATTTGAATCCAACAGGCTCCTCTGTGTCGTGCGCTGCGACAGAGAGCAACGTGCGCCGCGGCACACAATCAAAATCCTGATATATCAGTTTCGTATCTGTATAAGAGAAACGAGAAGAGGAAGAGAAAAAATGAAGAGAACGAAAGAGCTGAGCTAGTGCTTGAAGAAACCGACTTATAGGAGTAAGATGGAGCTCATAAATACCAAAGGTAAGTCTCCTTACTTAAATTTTTCTGTCTTCTTCCATTTTCTTAATGGTAGAAGTTAGGGTTTGATTGTTAATAGTGATTTTCAGTCCATAAAAGCTATAAGTCCAAACCTATTGACTTAAATAGAGTTAATGGGAGTAGATTGAGCTAAGTAAACTTGGCATTTATGGTTTTATGATGATTGGTGGTTGGAGGATATTAAATGTCTACAATTCTCGTAAATTTGATGGTTGCAACAATGTGGTTTCATTAATGACTATTTAAGAGTTCAATGTTATTAATGAGAGTTAAAGGAAGCTAAGAAGTTTTATGGGTACTTTTACATGAATTAAGAATAAATTTTGAGTATTAAGAAATGACGAAGTGTTAGTGAAAAATAGCTCAAATATGGATATTGATATTTTGCATGGTAAATGCTTGTAGAGCAACTACCATTAGCACCATTTAAGCTTCTTGAAAGCCTTGAGAGTGAGTAATTGAGGGGTGAAACTTTTGACCTCTTAAAGGTTTGAGGTAACTGGGAGAATTCTATCTTATGTTTTTGTGTATTTATTAGTTTAAGGATTTATAATTTATCATTGAAATGTGTAAATTAAAAAGAAATGCAAGTATGGCTTGATTTGTTAGAAAATTCACTAGATCAAATTTTTGAGTTTTATGCCTTGTGATGTAAAATTTATTTGAGAACAAAATCGGTGAATTTTCGTATTATGTATATTGGGAGTTCAATGATTTTATGAATTGAGAAGTAACATGAATCTTTGTTTATGAGAAGTTTAATGATATTTAAAATAGTGGAGTTCAATGATTTTGGAAGTGTGAAGTACAATGATTGTGAAGTTGGAGTTCAATGACTTATTTCGTTTGAAGTTCAATGAAAATGTGATTAAGAAATTCAATGATTGTGTAATGATGAAATTCAATGAAAATTGATAATGTGAAGTTATATGAATTGTATATGTGTGAATTATGGCATAAATATGCATTGCATGATCTTGAGAGGCAGGAGTTTGCCTACGAAGAGGAGTATATGATAAAATCCACGTGGTAAGGCCTCATTCCTGTGATGGTTTACCTGGATTGATTATATCTATATTGTCTTACTTGTTCAATGAAGGATTGTCTCACTGGTTCAATAAGGGATTCAAACCTAGCTAGCTATCCACCAGTTCAATAAGGAGGCTAGTATAGGTGTATGACACCCCTATAGTGTAAGAAATAGGGGAAATTGTGTTCCATAAGTGAGTTGGGTGTGCCTTGGCCAAGTAATCCCCTCACAAGTATTTAGGCTAGGGAAGTCATGAATATAGACTATCCCATTGAGTTATAGCCCACGGTTTTATGTCAGAGGAATAAGGAGGATATAAGGAAGGTGTGATCAGGCATATAGTGAGTAAGGGCACCTGTTGTTTATATGGTGTCTCTAATGATGATATCACGAGTTGAGTCTTAATTTCTTCTAATGTATTTGTCAATGATTTGTGCGACCAACTCTCTTTATATAAAAAAAGTGCTAAAAAGCATTGTTTTTCAAGTAAATGCTATTATGTGAGTGAAATTATGAATATCTATTTTTAAATATTTTACATGGGCTAAAGCATTGACATTAACTGCTACTTGCATTTAAACTAATTGATATGCATTAGTATGCGTTAGTCGGATCTTGGTTATTGAGTAGTTGTACTCACCTCATTATTTTCAATATTACAGGGAATAGCTCAAGAGGTATGGACAGAGGAAAACACCAGAGGTTAAGACCGCGATCCTTTTATAGTAGGCTTCTTTATTTTGAGTAATTGTATAACAATTTCAATTGTCAATTGAGAATTCTCATTTGTTCCTTAATTGCATTATGTGAATTGTAAATTATAAGTGTATTTTGAACTCTAGGGAGTGAGTTGATGAATATGTGTGATAGGGCTAAACTACTAATGCAAGTAAGAGTAAAGCATATTATGATATGATTTAGGAGAACTTGATGAAAATTGTGGTCGAATCCTTTTTTTTTATGTTTTTGAGTTTAAGGAGTTGAGTAGTGAAAATTTTATCTAGAAGTATTTCATGAGATATGATGCATTACATGAGTTAGTTTTAATGATTTGTGTGTGGTCAAATTAGTGTCGGTAGCTATTGGCTCTTGGTATTTGGTTTGAACACTTGATTTTGTGAAAATTGTTGTAAAAGTGTAACTTTTGAAAAGTATGTCCAAATTTTGTTTTAAAAAGAATTTGAGTTTGAGACTAATTCCATTAATTAGAACTCAGAAAGGGCTTTCTGTAGACACCTAGTTCACATCATTCTAACAGAGATTTGGGCCATGTCGAAAGTTGGCCCTAATGCTATTAAGTTAACAATAGAATTTATTGTCAAAGTTCGTGCAATTGCGCTGCAGCGCATGGTGCCATAAGTTACGGCATGTGTCACAGAGGCGAACACGCCGTGGTGCATGTTCGATAAGCTGTGGCGCATGCCTCAAAATTTTTTAAAAATTCTCTTGTTTCAAATTCTTAAACAAATACACCCACTTATGTAATGATCTCATACTTTGTATATTTGTAAACTCTGCTTTCTCTAGTTACAAGACTTGAAAATGATTTTTGTCTTGTAAACTTAGGATCTCCAGTTTACTAACCATTGAAAACTTTGTATTTTGATAATTACTGTTGCTCACCGCAAGTGTACAGATCGTAGCAAGTAATATAATGAAAGTAAAGTATCGTTTCCTCGAGAATTTGTTCAAAAACAATGATCAAGCAAAAGACTAAGTAAATTTAATTAAGTTGAGCTGCATAAAATTAGGTGAAAATGATTTTGCAAATGAAATTAACTCTAGAAAATAAAGAAAAGTAAGTGATTCACAAACTTCTAATACAATTTAAGACCTAAGATTATTTATCCCCCTTGCATTTCATAACACCAAAATTATCTTCTCTCATAAATGCTTTTAATGAAAATAAGTGCTAACCTAAGGTTCTAAAAATACTTGGACAAGCTCTCTCAAGTCATGAACAAGTGTTTAGTTAAATTGATTGCACAATTTCTTGTTACAATTAATAAAACTCAATTTTAAACACCA